ATTTAGCATTGTACGCCTACAAAATTGCCGGATACATGATGAACAACGTAAAAAAGGGATCAAAACTGATTAATCACAACCAGAGATATCAGCTATTTTATTCCATGCATTATTCTTCCTTGTCAAAACTAGACACCCACATAACCCACAATGCAACTCGACTGCCAACTGTTTGGTCGAATTTGGGTGTGTCACGCTATAGTAGATAATGTAACCATGCCTGAGGTCTGGTAAGCTCACCTGAGGCAATTTATCTTTGCGCAGCTCCCTCTGGAGCCACAAAAGGCTTTTCACATATGCAGTAGTACACAGATCTGTAAACAGACTTAAATGTGTAGTATACAGTATAAAAGGCCTATACAGTCCTCTAAATGTCGAAAAGTAAGCACACTTCCTGTAGAAAAGAGGCATTTTTGAATGTTCATGAGTTTCAATTTCAGAGCTCAGTGTTTGTCAGAGTGTGGTGTGTGGGAGAGAGTGTGTGGGAGTCTTGATTACTTGAACAAGTGACATTGAACACATAAAAATTGACTTTCCCCCTTTTAAGCTGCATGTGTGTGTGTGTCCTGGTTTTGTTGGTTCAGCTGGAGCTTTTCTCAGTGTCACACCTCCTGTGTAGCAGGAGGCCTGGTCTGCCTGTGAGGATAGGGCAGGTGCTAATTGGGCCTCAAGCTTCTGAATGGAGGCGCCTGCCATGAATGGAAGTGAATGCGTAGAGCGAGGGGACCGCATGTGATCCATGTGTGTTGGTTCAGTGTGTGTACGGTGCATAAGCGTCAGCAGTGACACAGACTGCACAAACACGCCCCTCCTCGCTGTGTACTGGTATCTGTCTCAGTTAAGTTGAAAGGACCCCATCATTTTTTCGCAAATGGAGGAATGACACCCCTTTGGGAAATGATGCGAGAAGAGAGATGCAAATCCATTTAGTCACAGGTCCCTAAGTGGAGTAAAAGGCAGACACAGGGAGGGGAAGAGAAAGGAATTAAACCAACATAACACAAGGCTGCTAAGTGTGTCAGCATCTACGAAAGGAAGCAGTTAATGGCGTAAGGTTTGTGTGTTTGTTTCAGCATATTATCAGTATGAAACATCCGCTCTTGTTAATCTTTACCAACCTGGAGGCAATACATCATTTACTCTGAGTAATTCCCCCACAGGGACAAAACTCAAACCCACCCTAAAGCCCACGCAACTGAGTAGATCTTGGAATAAAATAGATCAGATGAGTACATGGGATCTTGATTCAGAGGGAGTTTGGAGATAAGTCTTTTCTCACCATCTCTCCTCCCAGAATATATAACAGTGAACTGTCTCCTCCTATCTCGCCATCATGCCTTTCAATCGGCATTCTCTTTGAAGGAATTAGGGAAAGATAACTGTTGAGAGAGAGAGAGAGATGGGTCTTGATAGCTCATCCCTGGTGTGTCGGTTATGTAAAGAGGCTGTGATATAACCCAAGAGGAAAGATGGAGTTTATGGGATGAGTAAATTTGAAGGACATGCAAGAACGAGGTCACAGATTTACACTGATGATAGATGAGATTTGCTGACAGGATGACTGTATGAGTGCATATGAACACAAAAGGCTTTTGTATGTGAAGGTGGCTGTAATGTGCTGCAATTAAACACCATATACTAGCTTCCCAAAATCCAGTTTTCAAGTAGAAAAAATTAATCATGCAGAATCATGTTTTCATCATCTTTTTGTTTTTTGGTAAAGTTTTAGATTAATTACAGTGTTCATTTAGTACATATGTGGTGTCAATAAAATACTTGATAGGCCGATACCTATACCAGCACACATATGCAAGGGAAGAAGACAGGAGGTCAAGGAATAAGGGGGTAACATCTTTGGGTTTTAGAGAAATTTAGGAATAATTTAGGGTTAGTTGGAAACCTCTACTTGTGCAGTAAAATCTTGCTTCTCTCTCCTTTTTTTGTGGCAAAAAAACCCAACAACATATCAGCAATACTGAACATCAACTGCTCCAAATCACTCTGAACATCCTGTATATCAATTACAGAGATTTCCTTGCTTTGCCTAACCAGCGTCGTACTCACCGGCAACAAATTGCTAAAAATATGTTGTTCTTAGTATTGTACATGGCTTTATCCAATCACTGGGGAGAGAGAAAAAACTCACTAGCAACAACATCCTCATACCCAGAATGCAACACTGCAAGACTGTCCTTCATCTACTTTATCAAGTAATGGTATTTTGGGTAGTATGGTTATTTTTGAGGGACACTGAAGATTTGTGTAGATATTATAGTTTTACCCATTTCGAATGTGTTTTTATATTTAAGTATAGTTGTTGTTTTAATGCTAAGTGAAAGTGCCACACACACAGTTTAGCTCCTTTTCATGGCTGTGAAAGAATATAAACTAAGCCCGCTGGTCCCCTGTTATTACACTATAATAATAATTTAATATGTACTGGCCACTTAAAAGAAAGTACTAGCACTTTGATAAATTTGTACCTTTGTACCTACTGGGATGTTAT